TCACAAACCAAGCCAGTCAACAATTTAATTGCTCAAAGCATTACAAGGTTTTGTTCCTTGAAATTTAAACATGACCTCAATTTATTTTGTCTTCAATATAGTGTGTTTATTTATTATAACAAATTTTTTAAATTTCCATTTTACTTAAATTTCCAATGAAATTGTAAATAAGTTTTGACAAAGAATGTAGGTAACTTTTTGCAAGTTATTAAAAAAGTTTCATGTATTCTTTATCAAGTTTGTGAAATTAAGAAGTAAACATTATATTTTCTCTGAAAGTTTCATCATATTATTTTCATAAATATATATCGTATTTTTCGAAATCTTGTTATTATTGGTTCGTAATACATATTGTGTGTTAAGTTGGGTTAAGATAGCAACTATTGTTATTTATTTATAATTTTATAACATTACTATATTGATAATTCAATACTATTTTCCAAATTATGATTATTCATATTTTCGAATTCATATGCTCCTAAAAAAGGATGGAACCATAAATTGGATAAATAGAAAAATTTTGAGCAATTTATTAAAAAAGAATTTATAATAATTTTAAAGAGTAGGTAATTTTTTCTTTTACTTTTTATTATAGAGAAACTATCAGAAAATGTTGGTTTCAGCAATTTTTTTCTGAGGTATCCAAAGAGAGCTCGTCAGCGAAATTGAATCTTTAGAAAAGGTGTAAGGTTGCCTAACTGCTCTTCTATGAATGCTTAGACAATTCACTGCACATTCTAGGCAGATGACACACATTTTTTTACCCTCGACTTTATTGTTCCACGAGTCGTCGTGCATTTTGCAAATCCGAGCACTTTTCGAAGACATAAATATATATATATATTGATACACACATACTTGTAATTCACACAAACACTTTTGAACACCTGAAGTGTCAACATCATCGCGTTGTGAAATTTCGAACAGTGAATTTAGGAATTTATTATTTGTAGATTCTGCATACGACGTGACTTTCTTTGCGATTTCGTATATACACTTCATATGATCGTAAATGCATATATACATTTACGATTCATGTTCAGTCAGTGATTAATCGAATTTAATTAAAATTTAACGTTTATTAAAGAACCTTTTTTTATGGAAACTTTATTTTCCTCAACAATTACTTAATTTGAAAAAATTGTGTATTTCCAGGATTTAATAGGTGAGTGAGTATGTTTATTAAATTGACCGTAAAAAAAGTAGATTGCCTCGCTTGAATAAAATATTTGATGAAAGAAAATTGGAATTAAATATATATATATGTTAGTTTTTATTAATTTCAAACGATATCAAAATAAGTAGACATTTGAAAAAAAAATCGGTAGATTTAGTTTAAACGCGGCAAATTTACGATGTTTTAAAAAATACATTACCTGCGCCTGAAATGATCACAGGCAGTGATACGAGAAGCTTTATTGGCGCTTAACTTTTATTACACATGGCGCAAGATTTACGTGATGTGGATAAATATACAACATTATTAAAAGAAGGTAATTAATAATAATAATTGTAGAGCGAATTTCGTATTTGTAATAATATCTTTGTTTTATCCATTCTTTTGGTCATTATCGGATCTTTTCACGATTTGTTAAAATCGTTAGTTTTTAAATTATATTTTGATATCCATCTACCTCGTATTATGATGTATTCATTTTTTTTTTGTGTCATATTAGCAACACCTTGCTGATGACAAGATAGCCCTTTACTTATTCTAAGATTGCAAAATTCGTTACTTTTTTTATTAAATAGTTTTTTAATAATTGTTAAATTCTTTTTATTTTTTTAACCATAAATTAAATTTCGACATTTTTCATATTTCTAGTGGCTAGCTACATTGATTTCTTGTGGCGCTAAACACGCTCCTAACAAAAAACTTAAATAGAAGTTGTGCATATATACGAGAAGATGGTCCAGCATCTCTCTCTCGCAGAGCTGAAACAAAACTCGTTTTCTCCCCTCGAGTTTCTGCGCCAGAATAGCGAAATGGAGTAAAGTGAACCCTGACCCTTTATTTAAATTTTTACAAGGTGTGGCGCTAATATATATATATGTATATTCTTAGAAAGAAAAATTAACTATAACAATAACTAATTATTTTCTTATTTCATATTTTTAAATAGTAAAACAATTTTACACAATGAGGAATTAACTATTAATTAGTAGTATAGAAAATTAATGACGCCGGGAGAAATTTCCACATATCGCTTGATCTCTATAGAAATTTAAAGCCTTAGGAATTTTAGAGTGTACATAGTGCCCCGCGGTCTGGGGATTTTTAACGCGAAAGATTATCTAACAGTGGTGAAGTAGCATATATATATATATCTACCAAAGAGGCAACAGTGTGGGTAGGAGGTGGCAAAGAAGGCGGATGGCCTTAAGGGCCAGGGTGGCTAGCTTTGATTTGGGTAGAGGGGCCTTTCGTACGAAAGAAGAAAAAGGCAAGGGGGGCGAAGTTGAGGGGGGGAGGGCTATTGCAGAAGGTGAATGTCCAAGGGGCCAACCTGTTCGGGGTTCATGGCCCTCGGACGACTAGCAAACGCACAGGGAGCCATCCTGTCCAATCTGCTAGTAAGACCCAAGGGCCGCAGTCATTCTCTACTTCGGCTCATATTTTTTTTACAAATTTTTTTTCTTCTTCAAATATTTTAAATTGCCTCTCGTCGATTTTCACACATTTATTCAAATATTTTTTAAAAAATCAAACTCTTTCTCTAATTTAAAACTTAGAACTAAAATTTATCGTTATACAGTTGAATTTGCAATGAAGATTAAGGTATTGTGCATTTTTATCAATGTCTCTGCTTTAAATATCGCAAATAGTAGTTTAGAAATTCGGGTAAGGAGGTTAAAATATACAACCTCTAGTTGTCTGAATACCTATTTATAAAAGTCTTGCCTTTTAAGACCTTACAATCATTTTTTTCGATTTGGTATAACATAGTATATAATTTTCAAATGATTCAATAAAAATATTTTCAAAATTATTAATAAAAATTTTTTTTTCCTTTAGAGTTATTTGCCAAAAAAGTTGGTAAATTTTTTCAAAAAAGAAATTTGCTGACAAGACAAATTTTAAAAAATGGATAAAGGGACTGTATTTTGTGCACACCGCTGTGTCACAAATCATTTCCCTTGAATAATGCATGTTTTTTTTCTCTCTCTATACATTTCTTTCTTTCGCTCTTCTTGGACTGCAATTTTTCTCTACCGTTTGAAAGACCGGAGATTGTTAGACTTAGAAGAACGAGTATTTCAATCAGAATGTCCATTTCACTGAACAAACGAACAGTCGAGAAATTATACTATCGAAGAAAAACGATATTGACTCTTATATAGTTAGTTTACTCAGTGAAATAAGTGCTCGGTCACGTTAAAGATATGACCTACGAATAATTAAATGCTACTGAAAAGGACAATACTGATAAGAACATAGTTCGAAAAGTCAAAAAAAAAAAAAAATTGCAGATATTTACCAGGAATTTAAATTATAAAATACTATTACATTTCTCAAGGCGAGCCGTTACAGTTTCGAAACGGTGACGTGTAAAAATTTACAAACTATAAATAAACAAAATTTGACCGAAATACCACTATGTAAATGATATTTAATTTGAAGTTAGCTTTTTTTCTGCGTCACTTTTTAAAACTATTTTCGCGAAAAATTTTTATTTGAAAAAAGACACGTGGAGTATTGCATTCTGCAGCTAGAAAGCGTCCTCGATTGAACGGGCAAGATTCACTTCCTACAAGGATGACTTAAGTTCGCCGATGCACCGGTTGCAGCAGCGATGAGAGAGTATTGTAGAAAGATGTACGAAACTCAGGGTGAACGTTTTATTTTGGCCACGCTATAGATATATATATATATATATATGTAGGAAACCAGTTTTGTGCATCCTATACTTTCACCCTGGTACACAATAATTTCAGAGAGCCTCAGCTCTACCTTGTGTTTTGGCTTCTTTTGCAATAATCCTATTTTATTAACCAGTCTTTGCGGATTCAATCTTCTTTAAGATTTCAAACTTGTTTTACAAAATTTCTAAGTTTTTCAGAATTTAAGATTGAAATGTTTTTAGTATTTTAATGCAAATATCCCCCTCTCGACATTAATTTTTTTTTTTTACTGATTATGTATGTTTTTACTGGTGCAAATAAAAAGAGAATGATTAATTGATAGAAAGAGATTTGGAATTGAAGTAACAATTTTTGTTTTGTTTCTCAAGGAATTTACATTTATACTAATGACACTCTCAAGCGTACATTGCTTACATTTGGATTTCGAGGATGGGTAGGAAAAGGTGGCGAATTAGGGACAGTTGAACGGGAGTTTGCTAATGACCTGCGAGATATTAATTGGTTTACTGAGTTGAAAAGACGTTTTACGAAGGCGAATCGACCTACATAAGAGAATGCCACCTTGTATTTTTACAATGTATTGAAATATTTGAAGGAATTTGAAGAAATTTTAGGTGTTTGAATCTAGGATTAATAGGAAAATTTCTCTCCTAGGCATATCATCTTTAATAAACCTTGAAATAATGTTAAAAAAAAAAGAAGCGAAAAAGCAGAATAAAACGCACGAAGCAAGCTCTCAAGTCAGTGATGCCGAGCAAGAGAAAAATCGGCGCGACTATTCGATGCGCAGCTAACTGTACATAAGTTTGGCTATCACGGGCTAAATGCCGGGTCGTCAGAGGCATAGAAGGGGTTTTAGTAGAGGAGTCGGGGGGGTTTAAAGAGGGGCACACTGGGAGGGAGGAGGAAGAGTAGCAAAAGAAGAGGAAGAGGAGGACGGGTGCTCTGCGGAAGGGAGTTAGAGGGTTGTTCGAGGTTTGGGAGTGGGGCAAAGAATTGGCAACGACCAGGGGCAACGGGGTGTGTTAGGGGGGCCAATGCAGGAAGAGGGGGATGTTGCCCCTCGCCTGATCCTCCCGCCATTCCGCCTCATGGCCGCCCCTCTCTTTAGAGGTTCCTATGAATTTTGCGACACTCAATAAAAAGTGGTTCCACGAGGTTAACATTTCGGTAACTATACCCCTCGCCTACCCGAGAGAGCGCGCACGCACTCTCACACATACCCTCATCCATCAGCGCTCACACACTCTCATTAACATTATAACCAAGACGAACTGACTACTACGAATACTACGACTACTACTACTACTACTACTATATAATATTACTATACTCCGCCGAAAAAAACTGCACGGGAGAGGCGCAGCAAACCGAACCGCGCGCGAATCAAGTGCTTTGGCCAGTCGCGTTCCCAATCACTCTACGACTAGGTAGTCCCGGTGTCCAAACGTCTGCTGGTGTCGTGTCATCATCCCGCAGTTACACATCCGCGAACCCTCTAATCCGGTCCCGTCCTCGGTGTCATCGGGGATTTAATTCTCAACAATTTTTGGGAAATGCAATTAGTGCTTTGATCATTTGTCAAGGACAAGAACTTTTTGCCAGTGGTACCCAAGGATCAGTGTTGAATTAGGCGATTGTCGCGCGATGGACCTATTAATTGAGAAACATCCGGAAAAGTTGTCCCGAGATTTAAGCATTTAAACTGGAGGGGAAGAATCAAGGGACGTTCCACGTGACGTCCACTTTGATAAACTTGTTTAATAAATATATCTCGATATCATCTTCATCATCATCAGCAAATTTTAAGATCAACCGGGACTTGAGAGTGGCCGCGGAAGGACGACCGAGACTTTGCACCAACTATCAAGGTACGTAGCCTTGTGGCCTTCAAACCAAGTGTGTCGTTCGCGCGTCTCTTTACACGCCTGCGTATGTGTGTTCACATGTTCAATTTCACTCTCCTATGTATATCAAATTAATTCCAATTAATTGCACACAATGTGTTTCTGTGAGTGTGTGTCAAGCTCATTTTTTCCCATTTGCCAATAATGATTATACGAAATATATACGTTTGCGTGTTTCAAGTGCAATTTTCATTTTTAAATTTCATGCTCAATTTTAAGGAATTTTCATTAGAAATTTTATGATTGACGCAGATTTTTTGTGACCATGTGTTTGTAGAGATAAATAGTATGTATGTATATATATGTGAACACGCACGCGGACGCGATAGTATACATCAAAACCCGTTCATGTACAAGTCGAGCCTCCCGCTGCTGCTTTATTTCTGTGTGTTAGTCCGTGTCGAGACTGGCGGCTAGACAAGCGCTAGACGAGGATAATGCCAGACGTTAGAACGCCTGAGAAATGACGTAATACTCAAGAACCAAGACCGATCCTTTGTCGTTCGCACGATTCAGGAGTGACCGCCAGACTCTATACTACTTTTTTTACATTTCATGCCTGACTCATTTTTTTTCAACCCACTCTCTCTCTCTCTTCTTTGCATGATAATCCTTCCCCGAGAAATTTAATTTACAAATTTCAAAAAAAATTTTTATATCAAATAAAAATCTAGACTTTTTTTTATTAATTTTCAAGGTTTCGTTTAATTTATTTAAAATTTTGAGAGATCAATAAAAAATGTAAATTTTACTTTAATTTAAACAGACTGGCCTTATGCAAACATGTGCTAAACAGTTCTGAAAAAGCTATACAGTTCTCTGTGTGTGTGTTTTTTATCACAGGACTTTATTTTTATCAATAGAATAAACTTTATTCAGATGTAAAAATAACTTTTTCTTTTATATACTTGTTTTTGTTGTAAAAAAATTGACTCAATAATTAGGTATATTTGGAATAATGCAGTTCGTGCAACAAGTAAATTTCCATTAAATAATAAATTTTTCTCAATTTACTAAACTTGATCACAGCAATATGGTAATGAGTGCTTATTAATCTTAAATTGCAACCAATACAAAGTTTTTTCTTTCAATATCTGTTTGGGTAAAAATAGAAAAAAAAATGTATATAGAACAATTGTTTTTTTTATGAAACATTTATTTTTTGCACTTTTAAATTAACCTTTCAATAATTATCGCTTTTAGAAATGAATACAGAATAAATTTTTCATTTGTTTGTTACTTTTTTTTGTTTTATATATCCTATTCATATACATTCATTCTCATTATTGTGAAAAAAAATCTGCAGGACGAAAAGGCGATGGCATTAAAAAATATAAATAGAATTTTGTTGTACGAGTGCGCTTATGTGTATGCAGAAGCAGGAATATAAAAATAGTTTAGAGGTTGCAGCCATTACGTGCTTTTTCTTGAAAACAGTTAAGTTCCCACACGTGCTTACAATTTTTCGGTTGTTCACTTTTCTAGAATTTTACAGAAAAAAAGTCGTTCACACTCTCTCTCTCTGATGTTTGTTAAACAAAATATCACAAGAAAAAGTATTAAAGAAAGATGCGGGAAAAGCAGCTATATTTCAACATAAGTCGGTGCTTTGAAACAAAAATTCCATCTAAAATTAAAATGCTCCAGAAAATTTTGAAATAAAATGTTATGTGCAATTTAGTTGACGACATTTGTCTTCTACTCGAAGTAGAGATTCTCATTTGGAACACGCTTTCTGCATTACTCGTTTTGCACGCCTCTCTCGAATGAATTGTCTCTTCTAAAGTGCTTTAAAATCAGAATATAAATAAAGTACTAATTAGCGATAAACTCTTTTATATACAAAAAGGATCGAAATAAAAAATATTCTGCGATTGATATTTAGTTATAGGTTTGATTCTTATTCAAAAATATTAAACAAAGCAAATATAAAATTAGGTCAATGATGACGCCCTTTCCTTGTAAATGTTTCCGGAAATGGGTGAAGCCCATCTAAAAGACCTCCTCAAATAACCTTGTCGACGAAGCGCATAATTTTTATTTCTTTTATTGTTTCCTGCTTTTAAATGCAATGCGCACAGAAAACAATGTTCGAAGACAAGTTTACCATGAATGATAACTATAAAGATCATTTTGATTATATAGGCTCTTCTTAAATTAATAAATATATTATCCTCCTAAACAAAAAAAAACCATTTAATATTAATTTAAACCTTTTGAAATAAAGTTTATAAATTCATTAGCTGAAAGAATTTTTTTTTTTGTAGTTTATCTGCAAAGAATATAATTTATATACCTACTATATGTATATATACTTAATTTGAAGCCTTGATTAGATTAGACGCCTAGTAACTAGATTGCGTGAAACGGCCTCTTATCTCTGAAATTCAACTCCTGTCCACAGGCAGAAACGAACAAGCATTTTAATGTCAAAGAAAATGAATCTCAATTATTTCTCAACATTCAAATATCTTTAAAAATTTAATTTACAAAAATTGAACATTTTTTATTTTTTGTTAAATTACGATTGACTCGTATAACAAGAAATAATATAGGATTATAAAAATCAGAGACCTTTTCTTAGATATATAAATTCATTCTGCTCTAAATATACCAAGTCTGAAGATTTTTGAATTTCCAGTTTGTCCATTTCGATAGGCATCTAAAGGACTCGAGGACTTTTAGAATGAACGTTTCGACATCTTCGGTTCTTTAAAAATGCAATGGCGTATGCTGACATAAATTCATGTTAGAAAAAGTGATAACAAATATTATAGAAAATATAAATAGATTTAGAAATAAAATAATAAAATAAATTTAAAAATATAGACAATTAAAAAGAATCATTAAATGTGAAGAAAAAATTTTAGAATTTGGTTTTTATATTGAAATTTTTTGAATTTGTTTGCTGCGCCATTTGATAGAATGTATGAAAGAGAGAAAGAAAGAAAGAAGGCTTCGAGTTCCTCTTGAAAAGCAGCTGCGTACGATTTTCGTATATGCATGCTACTGATTGCTCTTCCAACCCCTTCATTCCACGCACCAATATTCTAGGCAGCATTCTCACCAAGGCGTTGAATACTCATTCCACCCGCACTCCGTATGGCGTGAAGGCAAGGTGTGTAAATGAGACGGAGATTAGCGACAAAAAACAGGACAGTAAGGTGAAACCCTCTGTCTAAATATACAAAAGGCGAATTTGAACCCTTAAAGAGTAAATGTTTTAAAAAAATATCGCAAGAACAATTAACATTTACAAACTAAAAAATTTATATAAAAAAAATAATGGAATATTTTATCAAAATCAAGTCCTATTCTTAGTAATAAAAATCTCTTGGAAAAAAATTATAAAAAATATTACGCCAATGGTCCAAATGCTATATATGTACTTAACCAGATCGAAGTAAGAGGGGCGAATGTTTACGACACATTTAGACTTCATCTAATCTGTTCTTTGTTGACCGTCATGTGAATTAAATGTAATAAACGTATACATGTATATATATATATATACGAAGTGGATTATTGATCGCTATTTTGTCTCGAGAGTTTTATGCTAATCTGAGCATTATTTCAAAGCTACTATAAACTTCTATAGACAAAACTTTCCAGTTAACAATTTATCGAAAATACTTATTCCGTTATCTCTAATAGAAAATAAAATTCATTATAAAATATAAATGATATCTATTTCTTCTTAGCGCAAATGTATTTTTTCAATTATCACTTCCCGAGTTTTAAATTCCATAGGTGTTGATAAAATATTTATATATCGAACAGAGACTATTCCATATGAGTTTATATGTCTGTCGTCGTAATAAGAAATAAATTCCATTTGTATACGTGATGACTTTGAACGTGACACAACTTACCTATCCCAAAATATATATTCTCCTCGGTGAGATTATTAAAAAAAAAAAAAGCGCGATTCTTAATTGTCTTGCCTTGAATTTCGACAATCAGCTGATCGTGACGAATCACAGCTGAAGGAAGTTATCACGATTCAAGTATATACGCGCCTTGATGTTTTATGCGAACGAATGAGCGGTCCTTTGTTTCGTATATAGTCTCGCACATTTACACGCATGTAACATATTGAACACATATTTGTGTGCTCAGTGGCGTCGAAGCATTTTTTTTTAAGCTTTCAAAAAAATATGCTCGTTAGGGTGTGTCCTAAAGTCTGTTTTCTTCATTTTCACGTGATGTTTTTAAATAATTATATAAGTCGACACAATCAATTTGTTAGTCAAATACACGTTTTATTTACCATTTAAATTAAGACATTTTCATTTTATAGTCGCAGTATTTTCATATACAATAAAAACTAATTTATTTTAATTCATTACTATTCTCAAGCTATTGTTTATTAATTTATATTTCTTTAGAATTGATACACGGAGAAAAATAAGTTTGGATATGGATAGCGAATTTTTAGTTCTGGTAGCTAATATTTAGATACCACAGTAAGACAAGTTAGTTATAGCTACACAGAAAATTAAAAGGCATTAAAATAAGCTGCAACGCTTCTTATTTTAATCCAATTTTGCTTATTTTAATACCAAAATGGATTAAAATAAGAAGCGTTGCAGCTTATTTTAATGCCTTTTAATTTTCTGTGTAACTATTTGCTGTATTAGCTAACAATAATTTGCTATCGAGGATTAAGGTTAGCTAAAGTAACTAAATTTTAGCTAATATAGCTAACTATTTTTCTCCGTGCATATAATAGAATTTATTTTTTAATAAAGAATTCGCAAAAAAAAAATTGACTAAAAAATGTGCTGCCCTCAATATTGACGCCATTGTGTGGGTCTTTCACTTACGAACTAACAGAAAATGTGTGTGTGCGAGTTCGTGAGCCAACAGTCATATAAGAAGGAACAGACCAAAACGAAATCGAATCACCATGACGCGTCTCTCTCTCCTGCGTTTTCTCTAATGCGAAGAGTGCGCCGTCGTCTGTCTTGCAATTAAAAATACGGTTCTGACCTACTTTGCACTTTTGACTGTTGCAATATTGTAGAAATATCTGAAGATGATCGTTTCCAAATTAATCCTATATATACATATATTCAAACTTAAAAATAAAGTCGCATTGAGAGAAAAATAAATTCAATCTGTATCATTAATACATAAATATTCAATTCTTTTGAAATGGAAAAAAAATCGTAAAATCTTTGGTATTTAAAAGTTGAAAATGAAAAAGGTAATCCAACGGCACGTGGGAAATTCATAGCAAGGATTGCGTTTTATAGTTACTCTCTCATGCATAGAATTTTTCAATAGAGAAGCAAGAAAAAGGCAATGCATTCGTGTTGAGATTTCCCATGTGTCACTGAGGGTGTTCACTTTATGAGAAAAAAAAAAAAACTTTTCACTCTATTTTTCTTTTAAGAAATGCATATACTTTCCAATAATATGCATATAAAGTAAAATTTGTCTTGAACATAGTTATAAAAAAGTTAAAAATTTTTATATATTATTAAGAATTATAACATTAGACAAATATCTTAATTTCAGAAAGGAGAAATATTTCGATGAAACAATCAAAGGTAATTTAGTTAGATTTTTTTTTTTTTGAAGCGAAAAGTTAAAATATTTTACGTGTGTTTAAATGTTCCAATCAGTTAAAGAATATTGGTTGAATAATGGACAAATGTTTAGTAAAGTGGAGCCATTATTGGGCTTTGAATGGCTCAAGCCTAGGTATTGGCAATTTCCCACATAGAGTATTTGCTGAAATGATGCGTAATTAAAAGCGGAAGACTGACAAAATTGACGAAGCCACTTTTCAGCGCACCTTTGCTTTCAAATGCGTCACAATTTTTTTTTTTAATAAAAATAACTTTTTATTAAAATTAAAAAACATTTGAAAAGTCACAATGGTAAAGAAAGAAGACCCCGCAAGTTTCTTGAAATTAAAAAAGAAATAGTTTTTGATAAAATATTAATTTAATTTTTTTATATTGATATTGATATTTTATACATTAAAATGATTATAGATTAATTGACAAATTCAAGTTATTATTACAATAGCAACCGGTATACGCGTTGACAAATATAATAATATTGAAACTATCGACACTACTTTGCTCGAATATAAGTAGTACATACCAAGTTCTAGCCAGACACTCAAAGGCAACCAATCCCTTAGAGTATAACGCGTCAAGACTTACCTATACTACTTGCGTCTAGTAGACACGACTTGTTGCATCGACAACTCATGCTACATTTAATAAATAAAATCAATTTATAATCTTTCTCTTAAAACAATATTACCTTTTTAATTTTCAGATTAGAATTTTTTTTTTAAATATCATTAAATTAAAAAATAAAAATTGATATTTATAAATTGATAATTTTTTGAACCCTTTTGTTAATTAGACTTTATTTGCAGTGAAAATCAATTTAAAACTAATTTTGGAAGGTCTAGATAATTGAAAAGATATGAGACTGAATTTCGCGAGAATTGGGTGCAATTTTTTAAAGCCACGCCTGAGAATTTCGTGTTAGGGACATTATACATATATATTATAGGCGTCTCTCTATCTACGGTGACGGAAAAAAAATAGTGTCTGTCTGGTTAGTTGAACAGGGTCAATGTCCATTCACAGTGTTTGCGAATTCAAGTAGAGGGACCCTGATGCATCAAACTTTATGTATCCCTCTTTGCCCCTTTTCCCACACAATTTGGCCCCCCCTTTTCTTTCCTCCCTCGCCTCAATTCTCCTCGACCATGCCAAAATTGCATGCACTGTGCAGTTATAGGACACACGCACGCTCGTTGGACACGAATAGGAAGACGAGGATGCTATCTTTTATCGCGTCAATTTCTGGCTATTGGGACCAATTTAGTTATGTGCCAAGCCCTCCAACTTTGAGAACGGATATGGGCCTTTTTTGTATTTTTATATATACAGCTATATTTTTCTACCTACATTATTTTTACCTACATTATAATCAATATAATTTAATATTAAAATTTGTTCATTAGTTTATGTTTCATTAAATCACAATAATTAGTTTAATTTAGAGAAACAAAATTCACTCATTTGTCAGAATTTAATCATTTGTATTTACATAGAGAAACTCATTTCTATACACATCTAGATATATAATTAACATTTCACAATCAACTTTGAATATATTAATTTTCATTTGTAATACATCTAAATATTAATAATATGAAAAAAATGACAGACAAATAATAATTTATTTGATGCACAAATATTTTTTAATTTTCTAACTATAACAGGAACTACAATACATTTAGCCCTAAAAACTACTCAAGCAGATCAAACAATCAAAAAATTGAAATTCACATTAAGTGGTTATTGAACCGTTCCTACTTCTTCCTCGTTCCAGGGTAATATTTTTATTGATTGCTGCGAATAATATATCTTCCTTCTCTCTCTCTCCTCCTTTTAATGCAAACGCGAAAATGATAAACACGTGCGTGTCGCCGAATGACGAGGGAAATAGGGGTCGTTTCGTGGTCTCGAGTTGCAGAAGGGGTGGAAGCGATAAAGGACGGAAGAATATAACAAGGATAGGCAAACTGCGTTAGTAGTGGGGAAAATGAAAAAGAGTGGATATATAAAATTTCAACAAAAAAAAGAGGAAAATACTTTAACAATATTTAAAATATTAAAAAAATTTGTTTAAATAAATGTTTTCGAAAAAGTTAAAAAAAAAATATTGAATAAGAAATGAAAATAAATTATTTAATAAAAAAGGAAATAAAATACAAAAAATTAAGAGGAAGCAAAAAAAAGAGGCAAATAGAAATAATATAAAAAAAAGAGCTGTATTGTATTTAATGTTAAGGTTATAGTTTAGGGGCTAAACAAAGTATGAGGGGAGGTAGGTTCAAGAGGTTGGTATGCCAGCCCCAGTATTCAACATGGCTTAGCCTTGAACTCAGGGAGCAATGCCCGCCAAAACGTGAGGCTCTACTAATTTCTTTTTTCGACCTTGCTTTTTCCCTTATCACTCCCTTTGTACCCGGAAAACGTCCATTTCATCCCCAAATGGCTTTTTCTTGGTGTCATCGAACCTTTTTCACCCTCTCTCTCTCTCTCTTTCTCTGCTGACCGACCCCTATTTTTCTCATATTCACCTGATGTTCGTTCTCTATCGCAGAAACAAATTCATAAGGAAGTCATTAACCGTTAACTATAAATAGATATATAAAAAAAACATATATGTAAAAGATTACAGAGAAAATTAAAATAGTACAAGGTCAAAAGTAATATATTAATTATGAATATAAATAATTTTTTTTTTTTAAATTGCATGTTCAGCCAAGAGTGTATATAAAAAGAATTTTGCACTGAAAATTCATTTTTGCTTAAACAGGTGTTTCTTATTAAAAGAAATTCAATTGCACAAAGTACACACGCACATTTGTCAGATAAACAAGAAATTCGACCATTTATTAGTTAGTGAGAGTTTATTGTGCTTTTTTGTGTGAAATAGGTTAGTGTGAATAAGATATCGTGGGTTTGTTTTAGATAAGTCGAAAAACGTAGCCTTGCACAAGATTAAAATGCTAATGGCCCGAGTGTTTCTAAACAGTATTCTTTTATTATTTAACATTCAAAAGTAATGCGATACAAAAAAGGAGTAATAAAAAAAATTTGCGAATTCTTTTTTTTTTATAAATAAATAAAATAAAAAAAGAAATTTTCATTTTCTACAAAATGTAGAATTAATCTTTCGTTTAGTTTTATACGATTTATAAGATAAAGAGAAGAGAAAATATTAAAATTTTTTAAAGAAATTGAGTTAAATTGAAAAGAATTAAACGGCTCTTGCAAGTAGAATTAGTAAAGGAAATGTAAAATGTGTAAATGTTGGAACATTCAATAACGAGACTCTGAGTGCAAAGTTGTTTCCTTCTTTTTCTTAACTACTTCTACATAGTAAGTTTTTTTCTTCATGCATAAGAAAGTAGTGTGTGTGCGTGTTTATGTGAATTGTATGCGCAGTACATACTGCTTTTATACTTGCTCAAGGGCGCCTGACTCACCGGACGTCACGCAGTATAGAAAACATCCTAATTTCATCGTTCAAACAGAGATCGTTCACTTTAAAACAAAATAGATTTCAATTTTTTTTTAATAAACTTTAAAACTTTTCGAAACGATTTTTGGTTAAAATTTAATATTATATTAAAAATTCATATCATTTTGATAATTGCAATTAATTTAAAAGAAAGCAAAATTTTTTTTTTAATCACTTTAAAAAATGTTTACCATCTTTTAAATACTTGAATGTTTTTCACACAATAAAAAATATTTCAAAAATGCTATAAAAAGATATATATGTACAATAATTGTTTTATTTTCATTGCATTTTTATTTTCTTGCACCTGAATATCGAGTATAAAATTGTTTTGTACAAAAATCATAACATTTTTTTTTTAATTTGATAATTCGTTTCAAAAAAAATCCCTTTTTTTATTCCTTTCGTAAATATCAATTTTGATAACTTTTAAATAAAAAAGTATTGTAAAAATACAAATTAAATAAAATTAATGAACTATAAAAATGTGCAAAATTGAATTTAAGAAAAAAATGAGAATAACAATATCCAGTGGGTACTTTAGAACCTTACCCTCGCCACCTAAGAATCCAATCAATAAATATTACAATGGAATCCCTAGAGCAGTATAGGGGAGGATACTCCGGACTTCTCCGAAGAACGAAAAAAGAAAAAAAAAAAAAAAGATCGAGATTTCTCCTCTCGTCGTCCTGGGTTCTCATCCTGTCGGTCGGTCGGCTAGACGCGCGGCAACGTCCCTTTGGCTCCGCTTCGCTCGTTTATATTTTACTTTTCTAGTATAGCGAATTAAAACCGCGTTCATGCGCAGCCCGCGGAAGGGCGTAATGATTTTTTGAGGGGCGAATCGAGTGGGGTCGCATGTTGGGAGAAGGGGGGTACACGAGCTTTGCCAGGAGAATGGGGTGGCAGGAGTCTCGAGAAGAGAAAGACGCGAAAAGAGAAAGAGAGAAAGGAAAAAAAAACGAAGAGGGAAGGGGATTCATTACCTTCATCTTAATGTTCAAAAAATCTCGTTTTTCACTCGCACTTTTCCATATAGGGTAATTTTATATAGCCAAGTCATCAATTACCTCCTTTACGAAGATATATGATGGTCCATGAAAATTTATATACAGATGACATCTAATCTATATAGCAATTATTATTTTATGTTGTGTAAAAATTACTCCATATGAATTAATTATCGAATGTTTTAGAAAATTAGATGAAAACTATTTTTTATATATAATAAAATTTTTTCATTTGATCAGGAGTGATGATTGACGTAGCCAATTTGCTAAAATTAGCTGGACTAATTATTGCTAACCTGACTAATTATAATCCTCTTTTTTACAATATGGTAGTCCATTACATTTCTGTTCAGTAGTTACTTATTAAAAATTTAATAAGTACCTATCGTTTTACTAAATAAATTATACAAAATTTTTTCAAAATCAAGAATAATGATTAAAATTAAAATCCAAGACAATATTTTGTCAACGGGCCTTGATTAGGAGTATAGTGAGACACATTGCCAAACCGTTGATTATATTCGAGATGCGAAATGAAATTTGAGAAAAAGTTTTTTCGCAGTCCTTTGAAGCTCGCTTCCTGCTCCGTTTTCGCAGGATTCTCGCAAAAGCCCACAGCCTAAGTCCATGTTCACATCGATCGTTTTTCGCGCGTATATACGAGCGTCGGTATAACACAGAAGAGCGGGGGATATTCGCGAACGGCGTCGTCGCAGGGAGGAGAGGCTTTTAAATTCCAGCTCTATTTTTAATTGGAAGCCGTTAGCTTTGCGCATTTTCATCTCGCTAGAAGGAAGGGAGGTCTCGTTGGGGATGTCGAAAAAAAAAGGAGGGGGGTAAGAGAGATCCACTCTAGAGAAAGTGGGGTGGAAGGGGGGGAGAATAGACCGCAAGCACTATCCCCACCCTTGTTGGGTTACAATTTCTACGGGCTCTCTCTCTCTCTCTCTCTCTTTCTCTCCTCTCTTCTTTTCTCTGCGTACGCACTATTTTTTAGTCTGCGCTTATTACGACAGATGTCTCATGCGCCGATAAAGAATAACGGTGGTACTCACCAGGCCTTCCCTCTTGCCCTCTCGCACCATCCGACGCGAGTAGTCCTCCTAACTCGGCCCAACGTTGCAGCTCGTACCGCTCTATTTTTTTTCTCGTTCGCCGCCGGCCACGTTCGGTGACATCGCGTACATACAACTCTTTTTTTTTTTTCTTTCTTTCTTCCCGCAAGTTTTGCCCCTCTTCTTCTCTTTCACGCGAGAGTTCCGACACTATAGTGTATTTCAAATGCCAGGAGAATGTTAAGCTCGCTGATATTAACTTCAATTTGGCTGTAAGTTTGCACATGGAAATGTTTTTTTCAAAAAATTTTTTTTTTATTATTATTATTTTTCAAATTCTAGGGTAGAATCTTCTAGCGAGATATTTATGACCTTGAAATGATATTTTACAGGGTGAGTTACCCCTTTACAATTGAAATCTAAATTTGCAAAAATATAGCTAATTTTTTGCATACAAATTAAATTTTTCTTCCGATATTTTTCCTTCGGAGAAAGATTTTCTTTGATATTTTTTTATATTTATCTTTTTAAGTTTCTTCTTCTTCTTCTTCTTCTTCTTTTCATACACATCTCTCCCTCTTTTTTCGCAACTCTCTTTCTCTTTTTTTCGCACATATTTCCCCTTCTCTATTCATGTCTCTCTTTCTAGTTTCCAGCTTCTTTTTTTTTCTTTCATTCTCTCCTACTCTCCCGCAGTTATTCTCCTCCGACATTTATACTCAATACAAGCATATTCACTCTCTTTAGCGGCGAGACAAGCTTTAAATGTGCGGCCGGGGTCTGCCGGATTTCTTCCCAGCGTTTTGTCGCACAGAATCTTTTCATTTGGAGTGAGCCAGTTGTCCTCCTGTTTTATCGGCAGAAAGTCGCGTGGAGAAATTCGCGCTAAATTACTGGCGCAGAATCCTCACTGAACAGTGTTGCCATTTTCTCATATATATATATATGTTGTATACATTTTAAATCTCTTTAACTTCATTTAAAATTCATCAACTTTTATTCATTTTTAAATACGGTAATTAGATGCAATTCTTTAGGAAGCGTTGATTAAAATTCAAAACTTTAAAACTATTAAATGAAATAGGAATTTTTTGAAATAATTTTGTGGGCAACTTTAATTTTTAATGTCATACAATAAGAAAAGGGGATGATAAATTTTTGATGGCCGGTTTTTGGGTGTTGTATCTTGTTTGATAAGTTTCCCCGCTTTTCTTTCTCCCTAGCTCTCTTTCTCTCTCTCTCTTTTTTCTCCCCTCCGTGACACCCAAGAATCGACCTAACCTTTCACCAGCAACCCTCGCGCTAGTCTCGCAGAAAACGTTTTTTTGGTAACCGTAACCTTCTCTCGTGTTGTGCAGTTAAAATGTTTTTTTTCTGCATATGTCACACAATTTGTTTGAAGGAATGTGAGGAGAACTGAAAATGTGCGGTGCTTTAATGTAGGGGTGAATGTGCACGCACGTGAAAGGATTTGTCAGGTGCTGCAAGGTAAATCTGAACCAAGTAGAGTGAGATTAAACGGCAAGGCGTGCGTGAACAATACTGCCCCGGTCGTCTTACCACTTCCGACTTTATCTCCTGTCTAACGTTCTTGATCCTGAGTTCTGCGTTCATTTTAATTTATTATCATCCTTTTTTCTATTATAATTTATAATTATTTTTTTTATTAAAAATTAGCTTATTTGAAATTAAAATGAAATTAATAACTTGAATAAGTTTTCTTTTGCAATGATGAATTTAAAATTGCTTTATAAAGAATGGATACTACGCATAAAAATCTATTAATACATTAAAAAGGATTAAAAAAATGTAATTTATAGGGACCCTCTCAAATGAGCTATCAACCGAATGACGCATCGGTTACGTTATAAGGTTATTTCTTGGCAATTTTTATTCTCTCTAAAAAGATCCGATAGAGTATTTAGCTTTATATTTACATATACGAATTTTAATAGAAATATTTTGATACGATTCACGAGAATTGTATACAGGAAAAACACTTCTTGGAATTGAAAAAGAAAAAAAATTGCGACGAAAGGATTCGCTTGTTTTTGTATGGCATTATTCATATTTCAGATTATTTAATTTTATCACTATTAAAAATTTCCTTATTTACATAAAGACAAAAATTGTAAAATAATTTGCAAACGTTTTGGCGAAAAAAAAAGAATGTAACTTGCGCTCGATGAATTTTCATTTGATTGAGCGTTTCGCGCACGTCTATTCCCACCCTTTCCACTTAAACCTTGTTTTCACCTCACTTTCTCTCTCGCCTCCTGCTTTTTGGGGGGGTAGTTTTCGCCGGCATGACGACCCTCGCGTGCCACACACACTTTATATGCTCAGTTTTCACTCTATCGATAATCTCACCCGGCGTCGCGCCGATAGGATTAATCCGTTTCGTGCCGTTGACGAATCACGATCGTTCGCGACACTCTTTATACTCCTTACTACTACTACTATTAGTCTCGGAGATTTTTGGGGGTTAGTTCACGTGATGACTTGGCAGGCCAACGATCGACGCGTCGAACAAATTTCAACGAGTACTCAATTTTCATATAAGTTTCTACGCACACATGATCTCTTATTTCGTTGATTTGTGTGTGACTCGCGCGATATCATCGTCTCAGCATCACATTCGAATTTCAAATTCTCGTGCGTGCACAGTTTTTTTTTTCTGAGTTCAACATATTTCCCAGACATTATTTGTGTGCCTGTATCGCATTGCCTTAATTCAATTTAGAATATAGTTTCTTTTTTTTTTAATCAATTAATCTTTTTTTTTCTAAACGAAATTTAAAAAGGGGAAAAAAATAGTGAAAAGAAGTTTATTAATTGACTCACGCGTCTTACAAAATATGTAATCGTATCAGACGAATAATGTGCTTCTACTACCATTTGTTGTCAGCCCGGGAACTTTTAAACGTGCAGTGAAAGCGTCTTTCAATGGCACATTGGAATTGTTAATTTTGCAAGGTATCGTTTCTTATAAATAATTCAATTTTTAATTTTTTTTTTTTATTACTTATATTTGGCAATTTCTTTTAATTTTGCTAATTTACAAAAATTTCACCTAGTGTCAGTGAACTTTTTTTCAGAAATAGTTCATTCTGATAGCAGTTTTAATACAATTGTTTAATTTAGAATTAATACTTATTTAGTTTAGTTCTTTTTTTAAATTAAGATTAGAGCACCTATAATAAAAGTTATGTAGAACTCATTGGAGTAATAAATCTCACTACAGGACACTTCTTAGAAAAAGTTATACTCCTAATCTCATTAATCGTAAATTAGAGACAGTGTGTTTACATTAGCAATAGACCTTGACGGGCGACCAAGCAGTAACCACTTGTGATTATTAAAACCAACCAACGAAAGTTGAAGAAATTTAACCTTAACCTATCTCTTCGCCATGAATGAACAACTATAGTTTTGATTTAATTTAGTGCCTAATAGCAGATAAGAATAAAAAAAAATTCCACTGCCTCTTAATTTGAAAGTGAAACCTGTTTAAATTATTATTAAAGTAATTTTAATTCTTATGTAAAAAAATATATGCATTAACTACTTTTATTAATAAATTATTTATCATTTTAAATTTTTTAATTTTTCAACTTAAATAAAATATTATATATTATCAGCATTGATATCTGTGCCATAAAAGAATCAATATTTGATTCTTTATTCAAGGTCTCTATCAGGATAAATTAAATTGATGTTTTACATATTATGAATTACTTTTTAAAATAAAGACGGCAAGTTTTTGAGACTATATTTCTTCTTCAGAATTAATCCTTCTGTTTTAGTATATATATATATATATATATAGTATAAAGAAACTATAATTTCTTAGATTTATAAATTGGGAATATTTTTTTTTTTTGTAAATTGCGATACTAGTTAGTTGATAATGAGCATTAAACATTGCTGATAAGGAAAATTTATCAATGTTGAATTAGACACGAAAAGTTTTTCGTGCGAATATCAAAACGGTTAAATTTAAGAGAATCAGTCTGGTCTGTAAATTTGTTTTAAGATTTTTTTTTATCTTTTTGCCGAGATAGCACTATCAGCATACTTTAGCGCTTGCACTTTTATAAGCAACCCAAGAATTATTTAATCGTGCGTTCTGGCATGGCTCCAGTGTGACGACCTAATTTTTTTTCGCAGATTGAAAGAAAAAAAAAACGCAGCGAAGTGCAGTTTTTAGCACAAGCTTTCTATAGAATCAACGCAACACAAAATTTTCGCGAACATCCTATAAAAAGAAAAAAAAAAATTTCTTTCTCCTCTAGTTTTGGACTGCTTGAAATTTTATCTCTCGCGGCGAATTAAATTCGCGATTAAGCAAAACACGTTAATTGGCACGGCCAAAGTTCAAACATTATCTAAAAACAAAAACTTTCGCTAATGTCATTCTAATGTAAAAATTTTTTCCTCGTTTCGAGGTTCTTTGAAAAAAATATAATCGCGAAATATTTTTAGTAAAATTTAAAACATATAAATACAAAGCTTAATGAGCTTGTTAATACATATTTTTAAAAAATAAAACCATTATTTTTTTTTTTTTGCAAGTCAATAATATTTTTTAATATGGTTCAAGAAATTTTTAAATGCTTACCAAAATTTTGCTTAGGATCAATTTTATTTCTTATCTCGATCTTGATCAATAACTAACAGAAATAAAAAGTGGTCATAAAACGAAAGTCTAAAAATATCTTTACTTTAGACTACAATACTGACGCATACCCTGCAACTTTGCAAGTGATATATTTCACAATAAGCTTTATCTCAATTTATCAGAGTCTTTGCACCAGCTTATCAGGATTTGTCACATGCCTAGAAAAGTTGTTCTAAGTTCCGTTAATTTTTATATCTTTTAGTGTTTTTTTTCACAAAATTGCAAAAAAAAAAAAAAATTAATAAATTTTCGCAATCATTTAACGAGAGAGATTCTTCTAATAACACTATTTGTGATCAATATCAATTCATATAGCTTTGGTAAAATTGCTTCACTTTTAAAAAGTAAATCACAATTTTTTTATAAAAAGAATAAAATTTTCGATAATATTCTTTTTATGATTTTTCTAAAAATAGAAATAATTTTTGATTGTATAAATGAATAGGAGAAATTAATAAAACAAAAAAAAGAGTAAAATTTTTTTGATTAGAAAAAAAAATTTTGAATTTATGATTTCAGGTGAATAGACATAACGATGGTAGATACGCAACACTTTTGTCTGCGATGGAATAACTACCAGAGCAGCATTACGTCGGCATTCGAGAACCTGCGAGATGACGAGGATTTCGTGGACGTCACGTTGGCCTGCGATGGCAAAAGTCTCAAGGCACATCGCGTTGTTCTCTCAGCCTGCAGTCCTTACTTTCGAGAGCTACTTAAGGTGCATATATTTAAATTGCCTTCCTGATTTCAATCTTTGTTGCGCACATTTTTTTCTTCTTTTTTTTTTAAAAAGAGACTATAACCTTGAATTTTCTGAACCTGAATTAGTTTTTCATTAATAAATTGAAGTTTACAAATGATTGTCATTTCAAATCACTAAATTTAGAGAATTTTTTTTTCAAATTTAAAAATAAAAATCATGATTTTATTAATTTGCTCTTTCATCAATAATTTATATTTAGCATATATATATATATGAAATTGTGATATAGCTTTTATAATCGTCATAAATTATAAATGAATAAAAAAAGCAGCCTTTTTTTAGAAATAGAACATTTATATATAATAAACGTATTTAAATAATAAATAGTGATCAGTGAAAAGATTATTAATGAATAAACTTGTAGAGTGTTTGCACATTATTAAAAGCTAAAACTGACAAAACACTCTTGATTGCTGATACTAAGACGTTAAGTCTAGAACTGTCAGATGGACAAATATTTTAACTTATAGTTGTCTCAGCTGAATTTCTAGCATAAATGCAAGTGTTTAATTTGATTCATTGTATTGCAAATATATACCTCTTATTTTCTATTGCCACTTGAACATCTGTTGTAAACTTTCCAAAAATAATAAATTTGGAATTACATAATTTTCATTACTGATAAGTATTATTACAATAAAAAGAAATATTTAATAATAAAAATGTTGAAATAAATTGATGTGAGGAAATAAAAATGATCATAATGAATAATGAATGTGCTCATTCTTGTATAATAACAAAAGCAGGAAGCTTTTTTCAGACGTCGATATAGTGATTTATATTGTCCTGATTTCTGAGTCTTGAGCACTTTTATCTTTCTGTTACAGAGCACACCGTGTAAACACCCGGTGATAGTACTACAAGATGTAGCATTCAGCGATTTGCATGCCTTGGTGGAATTTATCTACCACGGGGAAGTAAATGTACATCAACGCTCTCTTAGTAGCTTTCTTAAAACGGCCGAAGTCCTCAGGGTGTCAGGACTTACGCAACAGGCCGATCAAACTGACAGGGATGAGGTAAGCAATAGCGTATGCATCATATTTATCAATTTATTATATATATATATATATATATATCCGAAACGATATAAGGTAAAATCTCCGATGGAAATATTTTTCCCTATTATAATTCAAAGAATAAGTTTTTGCTGCTAATATATGTTATTCTTCTTTTTCTTTCTCAATAATAGTTTTGCCAAAACAAGCCACTTAAATCCATGAAATCTCTGTGGTCACTAAAAATGACTAAAAGTTGTTTTAAACTCGTTTTCCTTAAATAAATACTCAGGCTTTTCAAGTTAGAAAACTTTTTGGCCGAATATCGTCTTTACACTATTATTATAAGAAAAGAATATGTCGCAAAATAAATTATTTTCCAAACTATGCAATTTTATTTATGTAAATTCCAAGTATGTTTTCTTTCACTTATTCAATATGACGTGTTGATTTACGAAATCTCAATAATCAGCAAAACATTTTTTTTTTTCAATTGACTAATAATCTAAAAATGAATTTTAAAATACATACCATAAAATTACATTACGAAAGTTGGTCATTTTTTTAAAATTAAAAAATGCAATTATCAACACTTCTTTTTAAATTCTGATAAAGTTTATAGGAAAATTGCCTTAAATAATATCAGTAGAAAACAAGGTAATTTTTTGGAATTATTTATAATGGCAATTATCAAGCTTTGAGTGTTATCAGCAGGTTTACTAAATTGTTTTTCCTTATCTCTACTTTGTTCTATCTTGATCCCCTCCGTGATTGACATAGGTCATGCAAATAAAGATAATGCACGTCGCCAATATTAGACCTTGAAAAAAAAAAAATTTTTTTTTTTTACTCTATCTCGAATAAAAATATGTTTACATTGTTAATAGTAATTTAATAGAGTTTAAAATTTAATCCTCTTTCTCTTTCAGTTCGTATATTTATTTAGATTTAAAAAAAAATCACATAAATATTTACAGTTGACCTATATTGTATTTTTAGAACACGATTCCTCTTATGTGAAATTCATGACACTAGTTGGATATTAAAATAATAGCAGGTGACATGCAAAACAGCGAATCTCATGTTGATAACCCGAGCTTTTATTTTAGAAAGTATTTGTCGGCTATTATTAAAAGATTAAAGTCGATAAATTGAACTTTTTTTTTTTGTGGAGAGGTATATGAAATTATGGTGTGTCTTTTTGTTGGCATATTCAGCTCTCGCATGTTCGTGCGCTGGCTGCCGGTGGCAATCACATACCTCCGCATGAAAAATCGTCCTACGAAGGTTTCCCTCGAGCGGGCTCGCCATCAACTCCTGTAACCCCAACACCGACAACAGTACAACAATTGCTGCGCAGGGCGCAGATACGTAGAAACGAAAGGCATACCCCAGATCCACACGAAGACAGTGTAAAGAGACCCAGGATATTATCGCCACCACTTAATAATAATGATGCGACGCCCACGGATTTTTCAATGGTGAAAAATCATTTATCGAATAAAATAGAAGGAAATGGAATTCATGAGGAAAATAGTCCTGTTGAAGATTCGATAAAATGTGAGCCCCTTGAATTGACTGGTGGCAACGGTGGGAATGGTCCCAATAATGAAGATTCATCGGATTCTGGAGCGGCAGCGTCGGATCGACCCCCTGCATCGGCGAGTAGCAATGAACATGAACCTGAACCTGAACATCCTCCAACGCCAAATTTTATGCCCGAGAGTAAATTATTTACCTCGACGCCAGGAAGCTTCAATTTCAGTATGGCTGCACTCACCACTGACCATTCACCATTGTCAGGTGAGTTCCAACTGGGAATTTTTTACGCAATTTGCGGCCTGTACGCATAGAACAATTTTTCAGTTTCATTTTCATGTTATTGTTGCAATTTTTACTAGAAAAGAATGTAATCATTTTTCTTTTTGCTTTATATGTCATTGTTTCGTTTTTGTGTTTTCTGCTTAAATTTTCTTACTCTCTAAATCTGAATTAGTAAAAAAAATTTACTAATTAATGACTCACTTTTTGCTTCTCAATTAGTAAAAAGTGAGTCAATAATTTCAATTAGTAAACATTTTTACTAATTCAGATTTAGAGAGTATATTTTTTTAATTGTTGATTTAAAAAATATTTTTTTTTTAAATCTTCTTTTAATAAGCAATGCATTAATAAAAATCAGTAGTCATTAATATAATTTCACAGTATTTAGACCTGTGCCTGCAAATAATTTTCGAGTTGTAATTATGGAAATTTTTTATTTATTTTTATGAAAAAAATAATTACGTAATTAAAAATAATTATTTTTTATTAAAGTTATTTATATTTTTTTATTGAAAATAAATGTAAAAAGAATGAAAATTAAATTGGTCGCGTAAGATATATTATGTAAGATTTTCGTGAATAGATTTCTTAAAACTTCTATGATCTCATGATCTAACTCTCGACTTTTAAAAAATTACTAGATCATCTCATCGATTTTTTAAAATTCGTAACAGGCGCATTAAAATAGAAAGTTAAATTTAACAGCAAAATATTTCAATTTTAAGCACATTTTTCGCAGATTTAAAGTCAATATTTTTGAAAATTCGTATAATTACGACACTAAAATATTATTGGTAATATTATAATTAAAAAGTAAATGAGTAATTACATTCTTTTTAGTTAAATTTTCGCTTTTTATCACTTATGATTTCATATATATATATATATATATGTATGTGTGTATGCTTGTTGCTAAAATTTTTTTTCAGCATGCACTATTATAGAATTGCGAAATTGCGTACAGGCCTTTTGATCTCTCTAAAATGAGAGCTAAATTTCTATTCGTAACAGTAGTAAAATTTCCAGGTTTGGGTCACGGGTTACAAACTCCAGACTTGGCAGGCACTTCGCAAGGTAAGAAAATCTTCCTTTCTAATCTTTTGATTATATTCCCTAAAATCACAAGAATTTCAGAATCATTGACCCCATTTTCATAATTACGATAATATATTTAAGTGACGGAATATTTGATTCCCCATTCTTGTTGATTTCAGTGGCTACAATATCTGCTACTTTATTTTATAATTATGTTCAATTCGTGTCCAAAACATTGTAGAAAAATATTTATTTTATCTTCAATGTTGCGGTTCGATGAAAAAAAAAAACATCACTATGACTTGTGCAGTTATATCAAACTAACAATATCACAAATTTATCAAAATTCCAAAATTTATATTGGTTGCGGTGAAAAATCATTACTCTTTCTTTCTGCTTGGAAGATTAAATTTCTTCTAATTGGCATGCATTATATCAAAATCATCAAAAATCATCATTCTGTATACTTTAAGATACTTTATATATTTCGAATCGCTCGCATTTCATTAAATCATTCGTGAGAATCTAAGGCTCGGGGCAAAGGGATTTTTTCCAAATTTTTTATTACTCATTTCTTAAATAAAAAAAAAAAAAAAAAAAATTTAACAACTTTTTTATATTTGTGTTGAAAATTGGAAAAATATTAATACAATCATTATAAATATAAAAAGAAATTATATGAAAAGAAATATTAATTCTATTTGAGAAATTGATTTTAAAAAAAAAACCCTGCCCATGAGCTTATAGATCTTCTCTAATTGGCGAAGAACAAGAAAGAGAGAAACGTCAGTTTGAAATCACTGTACAAACTAAGTCCACTGCAGATAATACAACACAATAAAATAAGTAAATTGATATATATAATATATGATGGTCACAAAAAATGGGCATATAAGAATCTGTAGTGATTAGCGTAATCTAAATGGCCTTAATTATTATTATTTAATATATTTTTATATATATTTGAAAAATTTTATTACATATTAATATATTCTATTGAGACTCTCGTGAATAACTAAACTTATTTAGAAATTTCAACATTGATCACTAAATTTTCTTATAAGAATATATTTTATAAATTATACCTATAATGCCGTGCTCGTGCTGTCCAATTTGTCGCATAATTTTTGTCAAATTCATTTTGTCGTCGGCATTTCCTATTGCAAAAAAAATAGCCCACCTTTATTTATTACACGAATCACTGGAATTATACTTTATTTGACTTTTAAAAGTCCAGGAATTATATCTAGGAAAATAAAATAGAATTATTTTATAAGCTTATGATATGGTGAAATATATATATATTTTTTTTTCAAATATAAAAAAAGGATGTGATAGTGTCTCTAGTTATCACCTTTATTGGTTTATTGTTATTTGACCCGTATAGCAATAATAATGCATTATCGCGGATTAAAAAAAAAGACACCATTCCCGGCAACCGGAACATGATCTTTTCTTCAAATCCACGCGTAGAGTGTCAATTTCACACTTTGCGATAAGACACAGACAATTTCCGTTTTTACTTTTATTATTTAAACACATAATAATCTTTGGTTATTTTACTGTAAAATTTAAACACTTAATTACCTTTTTAAAAAAATTTAAGAATTATGTACATATTTTCATGACTCAAATATTTTTTTTTAACTTTCGTTTATTCTGTCATCTAGTTATCAGGTTTGTAAAAAGTCCAAGGATATTTATTAAACTGGATTTTTTTCCTGTCTAATTCTTAAAATAAACTTGTCACCGAGTCTTGTGATCTCATAAAATTTTGCTCAAATAAGGTCACAAAACCAATTTTTGAATTTTTTTTTATATTAATTTCAAAATATTAATGCTCCAATTTATTAAAAAAAAAAACTAATTATTTATCAGTCGATTTATTCTTGACTAAAGTGAAATATTCTTAATAACAAATTAGAGTAGATTTTTTATTCTGTTGAAACAAAAAGTGCTTTTAAAGACTCGGGGTATCTAATGGATAACCTTTTGTTTGTGGCTTTATTGGATTATTAAAAAAAAAAAGAAAAGTAAACTCAAGATTTCACACATATCATATCTTTTCTATTCAAAAATAGAATTTATCAATAGAATCTGTATAAGTATTTTTGAAAAAAGACTCTATTCAAACTAATATCTAAAGAATAAAAAGTTTCCTCAATCGATGTTTGATAAAAAAAAAAAAAAAAAGGAAAAAAGTTACGAGATACAGTTGGTGCTAAACTTTTATTTGATTAGAATCAACCTAAAGTGCTTGATTAAACCGGAAAAAAAACTTTCCAAGTTGACACAATTCATTCTTTTACGAGCAATAATTCGCGTTAAATTTTAATTAAACTTTAACTAAGATTATCTTTAAATACATACATAATGAAATATGAATAGTATAGTGTGTGTGCTTCATTGTATTATTCAATATATCGACTCATTAAACAAATGGAATCATTTGTCTAAAACCATATATTGAATAATATATCACATTTAAAAATGCCTTCATCTTGATAAAAACGTCTAGAAGAAACAAATTCTTTGTCTGCAAATCGAGACGTTGTGTAAATTCAGGTGCGAGCTTTCGATTAATATTTGAACGCCTGGTTTATGCTAGGTTAGTACGGAAAAAGTTATCGGAGGGGCCATTTGATAAGGCAACAGATGTTATCCGTGAATTTCTTCAAGGTCCTTCTATCTACTCAATTCAGACGTGGCCAGCTAAACATTGGCCTAACTAAAAATACAATGACCTTGGTACGCCACTCACGTTCCTGCATCGTACTGTGAATTATTAGGCACATTAAAATCGAGTGTCGCCCGTTCGAAACTTGCTCGCATATCATTCACTTATTGCCCTTTGACCTCAACCGAGATCGAAATTGCAAAAACGTAATTTTTTTTTAAACTCGTCCCCTAATATATCTATTTAATACTTGAAAATTAAATAAAAACCACTCCAATTACATTGTATAAATAATTTTTATAATTTTTAATTTTATTTACATATATACAGATATAGTATAAATACTTTACACGCACGTCAGAAATAAAATCATTTTTTGCGCGCTTTCCATATTCATTTTTTTTTTTTATTAGCCTCCAGTCTTTTTATTCATGTAAAAATGAAAAAGAATTTTTCTATTTTCTAAAAATAAAGTTGCGCCCACTTTCACCCAATCTAGTTTCGCTACTGATTCCGTTTCGCAAAAACAGTTTTTTGCTATCGCCGAAACTGATAATACTTGGACACATACTCATATTAAAAAAAAAAGTCGCGCATTATTTGCTTTTTTAAATTTGTCACTCAGAATTAAAAATTATCGATCAAAACTATGGCTTAAGTCTAAAAGATAGGAAATCGATTGGATCAATCGCACGTAAAAGCGAATATTTTTAATTTCTTTTCTTTTCAATAAATTTGCAATATATTTTAATTTTTAATAATTTTTTATAATTTGTCCCTCACAACACAAGGATATTCAGGATATCCATGGGACGTCCTGGGGATATCCATTTGCTTTTGGCGATTCGGATATCCCTAAGATATCCTCTGGATATCCATGGACATCTCTAAGATATCCCAGGGATATCCAAACCGCCGAAAACAAATCGATATCCCCAGGACGTCCCAAGGATATCCTGAATATCCTTTTGTTGTGAGGGGTCATTCGAATATATATATATCGTGTTTCTAAAATTTTTAAACACAGAAATATAATTTATCTATCATAAATAAACATGAAATCTTGTCTTTTAATACTGACTTTTTCAAGTCTCTGTCAGTATTCTACTCTTACTTTTTTTATCAACATTACTGCATAATATCATTACGCAAAAACAATAATGACTGATATGCACAAAATAAAGAGGGAGATTTAAAAAAAGAAGGATGAGAAGTTATAAGAGTTTATGGAATCATTTCTCATTTTCAAATCATTTTTTTATATATATATATAGTATAATTACATTCTAGGAATCTTTAACTTTTTTTCTTCACGTGCTGCCCCAGAAAGTACTGATAGTCTTAATTAATGTTCATATGCAATCTTTTATTAAATTTATTTTTTGTTTTTCTTTAGTGATGAGATTGAAACAATGTTTCATTTCCGTATTATTAATGATCATTTTACTTCCATTCCATTGTTTTTAATTCTTTGAAATTTTTTAATTCATAATTTTTGTTATAAAATTTTGTAATCAAGAAAAAAAATGCAAAAAAAAAAGTTCAATCTTATTATGTTTCTAAAAGACATTTTTTATCAAAGATATTTTTACTTATTATGAATTACTTTTTAAGCGTCCGAAATTGCGAGTTTTTTTTTTTATCTGAATTGAAGAGAGGTAGATAATTATGCTAATTAGCACTTGTGCAATAAACTGACGTTTTAAATATCATTGTGAAACATTGTTTCTTTTCTTTCATTCCTCATAGCTTCTAAACAATAAAATATTCAGGAAAATTTTCAAATGAATGACAAGAAAAATGTTTTAGTGTAGAACTAGAAAAAAAAATTAGCAAAAAAAAAGTCTTTGTTTCCAGTGTATTCTTAGCTTCTATTTTGTATTTGATGAAAAAGGAAGTGGGGGTGGAATTGTTGTCAGAAAAAGAGCTGCGCTAGACGCACTAATCTTTTTTCTTCTTTCTCGTCTTGTGCCTCTCTTTTTTTTTCTCTTCTGTTTCTTTTCTTTTCACAAAACGCCACTCGCAGAGAGTATAACCTGTTGTAAAATTCAACCGCGTAAAAATAGCGGTACAAAACTGAGCGAACTACTTTCTGCGCTATATCAGAGGCCACATTGCAGCCTCCTGATGCAATGGTTTTGGGCCAAATATTTATTCCACGATGCATCCTCCAAACTCTGGACACACTACCACAAGTTGTGAACTTTCATATATACAGATGTTTTTTATACAATGTCCAAATTCCTGCCGTGAAAACAGAAAAATTTTTTTCTCTCAAATGGAATTTATTTCATATAGCGAAAATATTGTTGTTTCATTCATAAACATTTCACTTCATAGCTTTTGATATATAACTCGATTT